ATATTTATCGCACTCCTTATTTTCGTGTAATGTTCTCTTTTGAAAATTTTTGTATGCATGAGAACTCTAGTCTAAGTGTCCCGAACGCTAGTGCCTTGATGAATGCGAAAACAGTAGGAGGTCGCCTGCCCGTTGTATCCGGGAGGGACGCCCCATGCCGTCGTATCCGGAAGGGGAAAAACATCTCTGCTGTCTCCTGGAAAGGATCCTGTGAACCGTTGTACCCGGGGGTGGGAATGTCTCCAGTTACAGCCATGCCGTTGTATCCGGAAGGTTGTTGTATGTACATAGGAGGTTTGCGATAGGGCCGGGTAGGGGGATTAGGCTATGAATTCTATGCATACGGATACTGAATTTGTGTTACTGCTTTTAAAATAATTATGCGGGATAACTGTGCGATAATGGTGAGCTTGTTGGTTATGCTCACCCCCATTATTTTCTTTGTTGTCTTTTCTCTTCCTTTGTTCTAGGTTGAGACGAGCTGGAGGCGGTGGCGTTGGACGAGCGAGATGGTGGTCATTATGTGTTGAAACCTGTGCTTCCGCATAAACTTGATATTTATTTATTTGCTATCGTACTTTGGATTATTTGTTTCGTCATTTTCGAACTATGTTGAATTTAGTTTGAACCTTGCTTTCATGCTAGTCGTTTGGGAATGGTTTTGAAATTTATGATTATTAAGATTGTTAATTTGATAGCTCGAACTTGTTTAGGTTCTATCGATCGATTGATTTGGTGTTTTTATTTGTTTGTTGTGGTTAGTAAGTAGCGCCCGATTCTCGATAAAGGTTTTAAATTTGGATTTAAAAAAAAAAAACTCTGATTTTTATTAATTAATTCGATAAATTCTTTAAAATAATACGGGGCGTTACACCTTGTCAAGAAGGAGGATGGGTCTATGCATATGTTCATCGACCTACCGGGAGTTGAACCGGTTGACGATGAAGAACAAATATTCATGCCCTAGTATAGAGAACTTATTCAATCAGCTAAAGGGAGCCAACGTATTTTCCAAGATAGATCTGCGTTCTGGTTATCATCAACCCAAGATCAAGAAGGCCAAAGTGGCCAAAACAGCTTTCAGAACGAGATGCGGACACCACGAGTTTGTAGCGATGCCGTTTGGCTTGAGCCAAGTGCCTGCAGCATTCATGGGTCTCGTGGACCGTGTCTTTCATCCCATCTTAGACTGATTTGTTATCGTCTTTAGTGATGACATTTGGGTCTATTCCAGAAGCCCATAGTGTAATAGCCCATTCTTAACCTAATGTAAATTACGTACTTAGTTTCGTAATGTTCATATTAATCTTGGAACTATTAAATATTCCAAGTATAAGTCAATTTATGTTCACTCGCTCGATAAATATTATTGAATCAAATCGTATTTAATCGAGCAGTAAATGTGCTAATCTCGCGCTAATCGTGCGTGATCATGCGCATAATCGTACTTAGTGGTCCCTTATGTACCTCAATTATGTTCATTTAAGCTTAAGTGTTCATTTGATCATCATGTACCCCTAAGTATTGGTCATTGCACGGCAAGGGTGCATAGTTCCTTCTAATCGCCCTAGCATAAGTTAATCATGCGCAAATGAAGCCTTAAGCGAGCTTAGGTACTTAATTAACACAAGTGGACGGATAGCTTGGGCAAATCACGTGAGTAAACATCATTCCTAGCACAAGTGGCCTCTTCTTGCCAAGTAAAGGATGACTAAGCTAAAAATGGTACACCTCATGGCCTAAGGACGTGGCAAATGGCACGAGCTCATTGGCTATGAATTTTACCTTACGTTTTCATCCCTTTCACCGCCTATAAAATCCAACATTTGGACATATTTTTAGCTTATAAGCTAAGCTATTTCCTAAGCATATTATAAACAAGATTAAGATATTTTAACCTAGCTTACCGTATGCACGTAAAGGAAAAGAAGGGACCGAGCTATCCTTGAAATCTTGTCAAGTTTCTTCGGGCAACCAAAGGGTAATATGATGCTGACCTTATTATGATGTTATATGTATCATGCTGAGTTCAAATTATAGGTCTAAGTTCATGTAATGATCGAAAACGCTCTCGGGTGTGCATTTTAGGGTCGTATCAACTCATCTCTTTATATAGCCAATATGTCTCGAGCAAATTATGCATCATTAGTCCTTATTTAATGTGTTATATTCAGTCAAGAAAGATGGCCCGAGATAAACTGTCATTTTGTTGATGATATGGCCAAGGGAAGTGGACCGCGCACGTAGCGCGCGCCCACGGGTCGTGTCTCACCCTATTAGGGTATCTTTAATTGTGATCAAATTTGTTAGGGACATTTATGTTCCAACAGCTTTTAAATGATAAATTATAGTCAATCAACTCATGTTGCTCGAAAAAAGTTCAAGTTTGGTCGAGGGTACACGTTAGGGCCGTCGGACGTGCCTATCGCGCACGCCGTGGCCCGTCATGTTACATAAAAAAATCAACTTTCATGTTATTGTCACGACCGTCAGACCCATTCACGTATAAAAATGTTAATCATGTTATGTTATGTCAATTTAATCAAGAAAAATGGCCGCCCGGCCGGCAAGGGCCGGTCACGGACATGATGCCGCGCGTAGCGGCCATGCCGGCAGTGCTGTCCCAGTGTCATGTAAGCGCGACCCCGAGCTAGTCGCTCGTGCCACGCGCAGCTAACCTCAGGTCGTGCCAACAGCGTACCCGAGTGTTTTGTTACCGTGCCTTAAAGAACCCGAGTAAGGTTCAGGGGCCTCGGGACGTGCCTAGCCGCACGCCCGAGCAGTCAGTTGGCCCGGGACGTGCTCAACAGCACGCCCGCATGCCCAGGGTTGCCCGGCAGCGCCCTGACAAGCCTTAGTCGCACCCGAGACGCGCGAGAAATGTCTGGTCGCGTCAGTCCTCGCGCCAGCCGCACCTGGGTCGTGCCAGCCGCACGCCAAGTGCCCAGTCAGCCCGGGTACGCGTCTATCCCGCGTCCCTCGCGCTCGGCCAATGCCAGGGCCAGTGCCAGCCGCACTGCCCGCGCCCAGCAGCACCTAGTGCCGAGGCCGGTCACACCTAGCCCGTGTCCAGTGCTGTGCCATGGCCCCAGCAGGCCCGGCACGGGACCGAGCCCAGCCAGCCCGTGACCACCCGGTTTAGTGTGAACCGGTGGTCCAATCGGTCTGGTCCAGCCTACTCGGTTCATCCAGTTAGTGAACCGGCCGGTTTAGCCGACAGTTCAAGTCTGTTTTAGTTCGTAATTTTCAGTTCGAGTCTTATTCTAAAATTTAAATTATTTTCCGAGCCAAATCAGATCAGTTAAGCATATCAGTATAATTTCCGGACTTAGAATTCATTTCTGTAAACCTTAGTGCATTCCGTAATATCCGGATATCATATTAAGTCGAGTCGAGCATCTTAACAGTTAAATTTATTGATCTGAGCATAGTACTTAGTAATTGTTTATATTATGTTACAGTTTGATCAGTTCACGACTATCTGCACTTCCAGTTTCATATCTTCGGTACAGGTGGGGACTGAGACTGGGTATTACATTGATTATAATTACGATATCATGTTCAAGGTATGTCAATTATGTTTTCCGCTTGGAATGGATGTTGGCCGGTTCAGGTTGCCATAATTCCGTTCTAAGTTCTAGTGGCGTCATCCACCACTAGTATGTGCACATGGATTCCGGCAGACATTATTATCATCATTATCATTATTATCATGGCAGTCGGTAGATTCACGGATCCCGGTCCGGTTTATACTGTTGACCAGGAAATTCACGGTTATGTTATATGCTTCTGATCATGATGTTACTATTATTATTGCTGTTTACTTTAGTATGAGTTCCTACGGAGTACAGTGGTACTCACACCCCATTTTTATCAAATTTTTCAGGTCACAAAGTCGGTCCGGAGCTGTGAAGTTGACGGATGATCGAAGTTAAATATTTTGTTGTCTTGTTTTGCCACGCTATGTTCCGCTGAACTTACTGTTTGACAAACCTAGATTTTTGTTCCGATTGCATAGTCGGATTGTATATTATGTAAATCCGTTTCTTTTGTAAATTTTAAATGGTCGTAACGGATTTTTAATGATAAAATAAATATTTTAGTAACGCTCCGAATCATATTTCTAAACTATTTTTAAAAGATGTCTTAAAAACGTACTCTGATAATTAAGTTAAAGCGGGGCGTTACAGGTTGGTATCAGAGCACGTTTCTGTGTCTCTGAATATTTTTAAGAGTTAAAAATTTTTTCAAATATTCGACCACGTCAAGTTTACACTCCGCCGACTACCGGGTAAGTGCTGATACATGTTTTAAATTATAGACAATTTACTATGCCTATGCTCAGTTATGTTATGGGAATCATTGTTATGGACTAGTTAAGGTGCTCGAATCATGCTCAAGGTTTATAGCCTAAAGAATTCATGATAGAGTTGATAACTCGTCAAGAAATTTGTATGTTCCATAAATCAGTCAATGTATCTTATTCTTATACTTAATTATGTCAAACTCTTTCAACATTCAGATGTCGACTCATAGAAGTTCGGCTCATCGTGAACCTTCACAGTCTGAGGTAGTCGCACAATTTCGCGACTATCATCCAAAGAAGTTTTCCGGTCAGGGAGATCCCCGCATTGTCGACGAATGGGTTCAGGGCCTTGAAACGATTTTTGAGGTCATGGACTGTCCCGAACGTTATCGCGTTTTATGTGCACAAATTCAATTAACCGGTGATGCACGACTTTGGTGGCACGCCTACTGGGGTATGCATCCCGGAGAAAAATAAAAATGCACGTGGGACATGTTGAAGGAATTAATTCGTGATAAGTATTATCCTCCTTACTACAAGGCAGAAATGGAGCGTCAATTTTTTGCGCTTAAACAAGTTACTCGGACAGTGGACGAGTATGAGAGAGAGTTCACTCGACTTGGAGCTTTTGTACCTGACTTAATGACCACAGAAGCAACAAGGACGAGACGTTTTGTCGATGGGCTTATTCCAGTAGTCCGTCATAACATCGTGGGCCATGGAGTCCAGTCCTATGCCCGTACCATCACCATTGCAGGGGAGATTGATGCCAGCATACGAAGGGAAGCCAATCATGATCGTCTTCAGCCGATTTCCTCCATTCAATCCTCAATACCAAATGTTCAACCCGCAGCTGCCCCACAACAAAGATACAAGAATAAGAGGAAGAACAGGGGAGGCCCAGATGACCGCAGGAACCGTCAGCGACAGCAGCAACCTATACCACCTTGCCCCACTTGTGGAAAGATTCACCGCGGAGATTGCTTGATGGGCCAGAACACTTGCTACTACTGCCGACAGCCTGGTCACATCCGACCTAATTGTCCACGATTGCAACAACAACCTCAACAACCTCAACAGCCCAGACAGCAACCACCGAGACAGCCTCAGCAACAGCCACGCGGGAGACAGCCAGCACGTGTCTATGCAGTCGATCAAGCGGAAGCAGCTCAACACCCAGGTACCATGTCTGGGATGATTATACTTAATGATGTTCCTGTTTTCGCTTTATTTGATAATGGTGCAACACACTCTTTCATTTCACGACGATGTCTTGACGCCATTGGGGTTCATACTAATCCTATTGTCGATCCTCCCGAGGTGAGTCTAGCCTCGGGAAGAAAGATAGTAACTGATGCTAAAGCAACCGATCTTAGCCTTTCTGTCGGTGGACGTGTCTTGCCTACCGAAGCTTATGTTCTCGAGATGAGGGATTTCGACCTCATTCTTGGCATGGATTGGTTAACATATTTTCATGCAGATATTCGATGTCACGACCGGGAGATTACTCTCTATCTTCCGGGAGATGATTCTATTACCTTTTATGGCTCTAAGACTCGTGCTCTACCACATGTTATTTCTATGGCGAAAGCCAGAAAAATGTTGCGGCGTAATGATTGCCAGGGTTATGTTGTAAGTCTTGTCAGCGATGAACCGAAAGCACGGACACCTCACGATGTTCCTATTGTTCGTGAGTTCGTGGACGTGTTTCCAGACCAACTTCCAGGAGGACCACCTAACCGGCAGATAGAGTTCTCTATTGATCTTATTCCAGGGGCCGGTCCTGTGTCCAAAGCACCATACCGCATGGCGCCAAAGGAGTTACAGGAGTTAAAGACTCAAATTCAGGAATTACTTAAACTCGGTTTCATTCGGCCGAGTGTTTCACCTTGGGGAGCACCCGTTCTCTTTGTCAAGAAGAAGGACGGATCTATGCGCATGTGTATTGATTACCGGGATCTTAACCGATTAACTATCGAGAATAAATATCCGCTTTCTAGAATCGATGATTTATTTGATCAGCTGAGGGGAGCTTGTGTATTTTCTAAGATTGATCTCCGTTCAGGCTACCACCAGCTGAGAATCAAAGAGTCAGATATTCCAAAAACTGCATTTCGTACGCATTACGGTCACTATGAGTTCGTAGTATTGCCATTTGGGCTCAGTAATGCCCCGGCAGTATTCATGGACTTGATGAACCGTATATTTCACCCTTACCGTGATCAGTTTGTTATTGTTTTTATTGATGATATTTTGATCTACTCGAGGAGCCAGAAGGAACACGAGGAGCACTTGAGGGTTGTTCTTAAAACCCTTAGGCGAGAAAAGTTATATGCAAAATTCTCCAAATGCGAATTCTGGCTCGAGCGAGTTACCTTCCTTGGTCATGTTATTACGCAGGCAGGTATTGAGGTTGATCCATCCAAGATATCTGCTATTCAAAATTGGTCCAGACCCAAGAATCCATCCGAGGTTCGTAGTTTTCTCGGTTTGGCGGGTTACTATCGCAGGTTTATTGAGGGATTTTCCAAAATTGCCCTCCCATTATCCCAATTGATGAGAAAGTCTGTCACGTTCAAGTGGACTGATCGTTGTGAGTCCAGTTTTCAGGAGCTCAAGAGGAGATTGACCACTGCACCTGTCTTAATTATATCGGATCCTACTCGGAGTTTCACCATTTATAGTGATGCCTCGAGACAGGGTTTGGGATGTGTTCTAATGCAGGATGGCCAGGTCGTTGCTTATGCCTCTCGTCAATTAAAGCCGCATGAACAGAATTATCCTACACACGACTTGGAACTTGCAGCAGTGGTACATGCCCTCAAGAGTTGGAGACATTATCTGTATGGCGGCAAATGCAAAATTTTCACAGATCATAAGAGCTTGCAATATATTTTTACTCAGAAAGAGCTCAACATGCGTCAGCGGCGTTGGTTGGAACGTGTGAAAGATTATGATTGTACCATTCAGTATCATCCGGGGAAAGAGAATGTCGTTGCAGATGCCCTAAGCCGCAAGGTGAAGGGTGATTTGACTTACGTTGTTACTCAGCAGAACCATCTTATCCAAGAATTCGCTCGCATGCAAATCCAGATTGTTGATGCACTTCCTACGGCGATTATTGGGAGTGTTAGTGCTATGCAGGTTCAACCAACGTTAAGGGAGAGAATCCGGCGGGAACAAAATCCTAATGAATTTATTCGTGTTATTAATGCTAAAGTCCGTGATGGAGGTGTCGAAAGTTTTCAATTGGGTTCGGATGGAGCCTTAGAATTTCGAGGAAGAATCGTCGTGCCAAAAGTCGAAGCGTTGCGGAATTAAATTTTATCTGAAGCTCATACCGCACCTTATTTAGCTCATCCGGGAAGTACGAAAATGTATCATGATTTGAAAGGATCGTTCTGGTGGCGTGGAATGAAGAAGGACGTTGCCGACTTTGTAAGAAAATGTTTAACCTGTCAACAAGTCAAAGCAGAACACAAGAGTCCCTTGGGCCTTCTGCAACCACTCGAGATTCCGAAGTGGAAATGGGAGGAAGTCACGATGGATTTTGTCACAGGGCTACCGAAGTCATCTAAACATCACGATGCTATCTGGGTCGTGGTGGATAGATTGACCAAGGTTGCTCATTTTATGCCAGTATCGATGAATATGTCTTTGGATAAGTTAGCCGAGATTTATACCGAGGGAGTTGTCCGACTTCACGGAGTGCCTGTTACTATTGTGTCAGACAGGGATCCTAGATTCACTAGTAGATTTTGGGATGGTTTGCACAAGGCGATGGGCACCAGATTAGAATTTAGTTCCGCTTATCATCCAGAGACTGACGGACAATCCGAGAGGACTATTCAAACACTGGAAGATAAGTTGCGATCTTTGGTTGTTGACAGGGGTGCTAAGTGGGAGTCGTTATTGCCATTATGTGAATTTGCTTATAATAACAGTTATCATTCTTCTATTCAAATGGCTCCTTATGAAGCACTATACGGTCGTAAATGTCGTTCCCCTCTTTATTGGGACGACGTCGGTGAACGCCGAATACTTGGTCCGAGCATGATCGCGGAAATGGCGGCAGATGTAGAATTGATCAGACAAAGACTTCAGGCAGCTCAGAGTCGGCAGAAATCATCAGCCGATCAACACAGACGTGATATTCAGTTTGAAGTTGGGGAGCGAGCCTTTCTTAAAGTTCGTCCATTCCGAGGGATCATTCGATTCGGAAAGAGAGGAAAGTTGCATCCTCGTTATATTGGCCCGTTCGAAGTTCTCGAACGAATGGGCGAAGTTGCTTACCGTTTAGCCTTGCCTCCCGAATTATCCTATGTTCATAATGTTTTTCATGTGTCCATGTTACGTAAATACGTGTGCGATCCAGATCGTATTCTTCAGCATACTGATATCCAGATTCAGCCAGACTTATCTTACAAGGAGAAACCGGTAGCCGTTTTGGACCGAAAGGTTCGTCGACTTCGGAAGCGTGAGATTCCCCTCGTTCGTATTCAATGGGATCGCCACGGTGCCACTTGGGAGCAGGAAGCTGATATTCGCGCTCGTTTACCTGATTTCCAGTTTTGATGTATATACTCTTATGTTTCATGTGTAGGTGTTCAGTTTGATATTTCCGAGGACGGAAATATTTTAAGGAGGGCAGATTGTAATAGCCCATTCTTAACCTAATGTAAATTACGTACTTAGTTTCGTAATGTTCATATTATTCTCGGAACTATTAAATATTCCAAGTATAAGTCAATTTATGTTCAATCGCCCGATAAATATTATCGAATCAAATCGTATTTAATCGAGCGGTAAATGTGCTAATCTCGTGCTAATCTTGCATGATCATGCGCATAATCGTACTTAGTGCTCCCTTATGTACCTCAATTATGTTCATTAAGCTTAAGTGTTCATTTGATCATCATGTACCCCTAAGTATTGGTCATTGCACGGCAAGGGTGCATAGTTCCTTCTAATCGCCCTAGCATAAGTTAATCATGCGCAAATGAAGCCTTAAGTGAGCTTAGGTACTTAATTAACACAAGTGGACGGATAGCTTGGGAAAATCACGTGGGTAAACATCATTCCTAGCACAAGTGGCCTCTTCTTGCCAAGTAAAGGATGACTAAGCTAAAAATGGTACACCTCATGGCCTAAGGACGTGGCAAATGGCACGAGCTCATTGGCTATGAATTTTACCTTACGTTTTCATCCCTTTCACCGCCTATAAAATCCAACGTTTGGACATATTTTTAGCTTATAAGCTAAGCTATTTCCTAAGCATATTATAAGCAAGATTAAGATATTTTAACCTAGCTTACCGTACGCACGTAAAGGAGAAGAAGGGACCGAGCTATCCTTGAAATCTTGTCAAGTGTCTTCGGGCAACCAAAGGGTAATATGATGCTGACCTTATTATGATGTTATATGTATCATGTTGAGTTCAAATTATAGGTCTAAGTTCATGTAATGATCGAAAACGCTCTCGGGTGTGCATTTTAGGGCCGTATCAACTCATCTCTTTATATAGCCAATATCTCTCAAGCAAATTATGCATCATTAGTCCTTATTTAATGTGTTACATTCAGTCAAGAAAGATGGCCCGAGATAAATTGTCATTTTGTTGATGATATGGCCAAGGGAAGTGGACCGCGCACGTAGCGCGCGCCCACAGGTCGTGTCTCACCCTATTAGGGTATCTTTCATTGTGATCAAATTTGTTAGGGACATTTATGTTCCAAAAGCCTTTAAATGATAAATTATGGTCAATCAACTCATGTTGCTCGAGAAAAGTTCAAGTTTGGTCGAGGGTACACGTTAGGGCCGTCGGACGTGCCTATCGCGCACGCCATGGCCCGTCATGTTAAATAAAAAAATCAAGTTTCATGTTATTGTCACGACACTCAGACCCATTCACGTATAAAAATGTTAATCATGTTATGTTATGTCAATTTAATCAAGGAAAATGGCCGCCCGACCGGCAAGGGCCGGTCACGGACATACTGCCGCACGTAGCGGCCATGCCAGCAGTGCTGTCCCAGTGTCATGTATGCGCGACCCCGAGCTAGTCGCTCGTGCCACGCGCAGCTAACCTCGGGTCGTGCCAACAGCGCACCCGAGTGTTTTGTTACCGTGCCTTAAAGAACACGAGTAAGGTTCAGGGGCCTCGGGACGTGCCCAGCCGCACGCCCGAGCAGTCAGTTGGCCCGGGACGTGCTCAACAGCACGCCCGCATGCCCAGGGTTGCCCGGCAGCGCCCTGACAAGCCTTAGTCGCACCCGAGAAGCACGAGAAATGTCTGGTCGCGTCAGTCCTTGCGCCAGCCGCACCTGGGTCGTGCCAACCGCACGCCCAGTGCCCAGTCAGCCCGGGTACGCGTCTATCCCGCGTCCCTCGCGCTCGGCCAGTGCCAGGGCCAGTGCCAGCCGCACTGCCCGCGCCCAGCAGCACCTAGTGCCGAGGCCGGTCACACCTAGCCCGTGTCCAGTGCTGTGCCATGGCCCCAGCAGGCCCGGCACGGACCGAGCCCAGCCAGCCCGTGACCACCCAGTTTAGTGTGAACCGGTGGTCCAATCGGTCCGATCCAGCCGACCCGGTTCATCCAGTTAGTGAACCGGCCGGTTTAGCCGACAGTTCGAGTCTGTTTTGGTTCGTAATTTTCAGTCCGAGTCTTATTCTGAAATTTAAATTATTTTCCGAGCCAAATCAGATCAGTTAAGCATATCAGTATAATTTCTGGACTTAGAATTCATTTATGTAAACCTTAGTGCATTCCGTAATATCCGGATATCATATTAAGTCAAGTCGAGCATCTTAACAGTTAAATTTATTGATCTGAGCATAGTACTTAGTAATTGTTTATATTATGTTACAGTTTGATCAGTTCACGACTATCAGCACTTCCAGTTTCATATCTTCAGTACAGGTGGGGACTCAGACTGGGTATTACATTGATTATAATTACGATATCATGTTCAAGGTATGTCAAATTATGTTTTCCGCTTGGAATGGATGTTGGCCGGTTCAGGTTGCCATAATTCCGTTCTAAGTTCTAGTGGCGTCATCCACCACTAGTATGTGCACATGGATTCCGGCAGACATTATTATCATCATTATCATTATTATCATGGCAGCCGGTAGATTCACGGATCCCGGTCCGGTTTATACTGTTGACCAGGAAATTCACGGTTATGTTATATGCTTCTGATCATGATGTTACTATTATTATTGCTGTTTACTTTAGTATGAGTTCCTACGGAGTACAGTGGTACTCACACCCCATTTTTATCAAATTTTTCAGGTCACAAAGTCGGTCCGGAGCTGTGAAGTTGACGGATGATCGAAGTTAAATATTTTGTTGTCTTGTTTTGCCACGCTATGTTCCGCTGAACTTACTGTTTGACAAACCTAGATTTTTGTTCCGATTGCATAGTCGGATTGTATATTATGTAAATTCGTTTCTTTTGTAAATTTTAAATGGTCGTAACGGATTTTTAATGATAAAATAAATATTTTAGTAACGCTCCGAATCATATTTCTAAACTATTTTTAAAAGATGTCTTAAAACCGTACTCTGATAATTAAGTTAAAGCGGGGCGTTACACATAGCAACATGAGAAGCACTTGAGGACTGGTTGGAGACTCTTCGACATGAGAAATTATACGCTAAGTTCTTAGAATGCAAAGTTCAACTTGACAAAATGGCTTCCCTAGGCCACATTGTCACTTCTAGAAGGATTGAGGTAGACCCAAGAAAGACTGAAGCAGTTTGGAACTAGTCAACCACTGAGGTTTGGAGTTTCCTCAGACTAGCTGACTAATATAGAAGATTCATAGAGGGGTTTTTCCATGTTTGCCCTGCACTTGTCTCGATTGACGAGGGAGTCAGTGAAGTTTGAATGGTGCAGTTGATGTGAGTCGAGCTTTCAAAAGCTCAAATCAAGGCTTACGATGACGCCCGTGTTGACTATTCCAAAACCCCAGGCAGGGTTTCATTATTTATAGTGGTGCCATGAAACAGGGTGAGAAATTGAGTTTCAGCTCCGCGTATCACCCATAGATCGACGGCCAGTCAGATGGGACCATCCAGACTCTCGAGGACACGCTTCGGGCTTGTGTCCTAGAGCAATGCAGTTCGTGGAAAAAGTGGTTACCACTGTGGAGTTCGCCTATACTCATTGCTATAACTCGTCGATCAAAATGACGTCGTATGAAGTTTTGTACGGGTGCAAGTGCCACTCAACCTGTATTGGGATGAAGTCGGCGAGAATCAGGTTCTCGGTCCCAAACTGACCGAGGACACAATGCAGAAGGTCGCCAAGATCCGAGTGACGCTGAGAGAGGCGTAAAACAGACATGAAACCTACGTTAACAAGCATAGAAGGGAGCTTATGTTCAAAGAAGGATTTAAGTTATTCCTGGAAGTCACGCCAATGAAGGGCGTTGTACGATTGAGGAAGAAGGGAAATTGCAGCCCCGTTTGTTAGGGCCTTTTATCGTTCTCGAGCAAGTTGGCATGACAGCCTACCGTCTGGCGATGCCCCCACAACCCTTGTGTGTACATAACGTCATCCCCGTCATGGTGTTGAGAAAGTACGTGTGCGACCCGAGTCATGCCATGAACTTTGGCGAGTAAGAATGTCGGGCAGAACCTGACATATAAGGAGCAACCAGTAGCAGTCCTGGACCGAAAGGTTTGACGACTAAGAAACAAGGATATAGAGCTTGTCAAGGTTTGTTGGAGTCGCCACGACGAGTCATAAGCCACTTGAGAGAAAGAGGCCGCGATCAGACCTAGATATTCAGATTAGTTATTTCAGAGATAGGCATACAAAAAAAGTTTAGGACCTAAACGGTTGAGTATCTCCCGTTCTTGGTCGAGTTGTCATGACTCATATCTAGTGGAAGTTGTTTCTACCCTGGCTTATGCAAGTGTATACCCAGATGAGTTATGTATACAAGAGATTAAGCTTTGCCAAGGGCAATGACCCCTACGTGGGTCTCCGCAGCTACTCATTGCCTGAGTTGAGAGGCCAACGCCCTCCCCAGGTTCTTGAGGCAGCCGAGGCCGCCCGGAGTGTGCCCACGATTCCCGGTCAAGACCGGACGATGTAGCTAGCCAGATTAAAAATCAGTTATGTCAGCTAGATATCCAGATTTTCTAGTCTTGAGATGTCAGTTGTACTTATGTACATTTATTTGTACGTTTGTATATAGTTCATAGTATGAGTTCTGACTTAGTAATTTAGTACCCTAGTTCTGCATTTCCGAGGACGGAAATATTTAAGGAGGATAGGTTGTTACGCCCCGATCATTTTTTTATAATATTAAGACGATTTCACAGCTCGACTTTTAAAGTGAAATTCGTAATTTTCAGAAAGTCAAGATTTATTTAATTTATATGCTAAGTGCTCATTATAATATGTAAGATCATTTTCTTAGAATTTTATTCATCGTGTTAAGGCCAAGATCAATCCATTAATTTGGATTGATAAGTAATATCTATTTGACTCGAGAAATTCATTGACTTCGAACCCTAGTTTCGATCCGAATAAATTTTCCAAGTCACTTCCGAGCATAGTCGAGCCCAAGGCCTTGTCCAAGACTAAGCCTATGTCCTAGCCAAGCATTGGTATATTTTTCTAAGTGTTGGAATTATAATTTAAGCCTTAGAAGCCTTAGAATTTCGCTTCAAGTTCATTTCCCGCGCGGAGACCCGACCAGGCTCCCAGCAGGCCCAGTGCCCAGGCCCTACACGCCCTGCAGCCCAAAACCAAGGCCCAATGGCATTTTTGGCCCAATCCTTGGTCCATTGACCACTTTAAATCTTGTCAACAAGACCATTTGGTCTTTCATGGAGTCCAACCCAAGAACCAAGCAAAAGGACAAGGGGACATGTCTTTTTTTATGTCCCCAAGGCATGTCCCCCACTATAGGTTGGACCAAGACCACTTAAATCAATTCCTATCAACCAAAATCGGTTCCAACACTTCGAATACCAGAAGAGTCCTTCATTTCCACTCCTTAGGCTCAGCCCAAGCAAAACCCGTGAGCCACCCATGTCGAGCCACTCGGGCCGCGCCTTTCGCGCCCAAACTGAGCCCAACCGAGCCAAGGCTCAACCACTTCGAATTTTCAGCATTTTAAGTGGTCCATGTTGACCAAGTGCAAGCCACTAAACACCTTTGACCAGCATTGGTCTTGGAGACATCCTTCTTGAGTTCTACCCCCCAACAAAGTCACCGCTTTTGTTGTGCCCAAGACAAATGTCTTGTCCCCTGTCTCCTTGACCACTTAAACCCCCCAAGACCAATAGAAATCAGATGGTTACACTTCATTTTCGTTCTAAGCAAGAGAGAGAGCTCCAACACTTAGCAAAAATTGAGAGAAGAGAGAAGAAAGCTCCATCTCCCTCCTCTCACACTATTCACGCCACTAGCCCCTCTAGCCCCTTTTTCTTCGTGTAGCCACCACCAAGGAGACCACATGGAGTTGGAGAAAGTCCCTAGCATCCTTAGAGGTCATCCTAAGCTCTTCAAGTCGCCGGAACTCGCCCCCAAAGGCACCATTGCCGCGAGCAAGCCAAGGAGAGAGCCTAGTGTCCATTTTCGAGTTTGGTGAAGATAGGCTACCCCAATCCATTTTTCTCAGCTTCCATATGATAAAATAAGATTTATCAAGTAGATAAACCACGTTCTTCTTGCAGTTACAATGGATTTTTGAATTTTTGAAACTTAAGGCCTTAAATTCAGATTTTTAGATGCAAGCATGTTTTGGCCGATTTTATTTGATGATAAATCATTATAAATCATGTGAAAGTATGTGGTAAAGTTTTAGCATTTTTGGAGTTCATTTGTTCGGTCAAGTAGTTCATGCAAATATGCTATTTTCGAGCCTCCGAGCCAAGTATTTGTGCATTCGAGTTTTATCATGAGTATTGACTTCTAAGATCAAGTTTTTGCATGTACAACTCTCGGCCATAGTCATATCTTCAATATAGAGAAGTTGGTTCGATCAACTCGTTCATGATTTTATGTGAAATTTCACCTCCGAGCCATATTAGCTAACATGCAAGTATAAGCCATCATGATAGCCTCCTTAACCATGATTTTTGATGTATAATACTCAGCCATAGTCATTTATGCATGTTTAAGAAGAGGGTTCGGTGACCCCATGCTCGTACGTGCCTTATCGGCCCTACCGAGCCTTTAGCATTTTTACTCGAGACCTCATAACATTTTATTTCATTTTTGTGCCTTATATATAATGTTTTAGGTTGCTAAGTATTCGGCATTTATCAAATGTTCAAGTATGAGTGGTTGGTTCGGCAAGTTAGTGTTCGTACGTGTCTTATCGGCCCTACCGAACTACGTGCACGTTGACCCGGGGTCTCCTAGTGCTTCTTGGCATTTGTATGCCTATTTCATCATGTTAAGTTGTTATATGTGGCATGTCACTTGTAAGGTTGCCAAAGGGCTCGAAAAGTAGCCGGACGGCCGACGAGGAGCCGACCGGGGCCGCTGCCGCGCACCTAGCGCGCGCAGCGCCCGGCAAAATCAGAAAATCAAGAAAAAATGAAAAAGAAGTAAAAATAAAAATAAAAATAAAAATAAAAAAAATCAAGAAAAATCAAAATGCAATCATTTTGTAGAAGAAAAATAAGACCATTCTACCCCACCCCCACCCCATCATTCATCTATATAAACCACACCAAAGAACACCACACCACAACACATCACAACAATTCATGAGAATTCTCTCATAAGCTTTCTTCTCCCCTCCCTTCTCCTCTCTTCTCCTCTCTTTCTTCTCAAAATGTCGAGAGCCTTTAGAACGGTTTAAGCTTCCATAGCTTAACTTTTCTTTTGTGTTCTTCAAATTCCCAAATTCCTAAACTCTCTCAAATCCCATATGTATTATTAGTATAGTGTTAGTATTGAACATTCAAAAGATTACTCAAAGCTTTGAAGGCCTGGAGTAATTATTATATCAAACACCAATTATTAATACAAGGTTCGTATATGTTCAAGTTCTTGTTCATTTATGTTTAAGTTCTTGTTCATAATTTTAATATCAATTATTTTTGTGGTGCTTCAGCCCCATAAGTGTTCTCTTTTCTTTACTTTCATTGTGGCACTAGCCCCATATTAATATTAGTTAAAATTATATGTTACATGGTCGGTTCTACTACCTGTGTTAACATACTAAAATATTATCATTATTATTATTATTATAAATATATGGTTGGCTTCAAGCTCCATAACTAATAAAAACTTACTTAATCAAATACCTTATGGTTGGTTTTAAGCCCCATATATTTTAAATTCCGCTCTTTACTTTATGCAAATACCTGCTGGAAGTAATTCCGCAATTTACTTTCTGCAATTTACTTTCCACACTTTCATTTATGCAAATACCTGCTGGAAGTAATTCCGCTCTTTACATTTATGCAAATACCTGCTGGAAGCAATTTCGCAATTTTAATTCCGCACTTTAAATTCCGCATTTAAATTCCGCACAAAACTGCCTGAAGAAATTCCGCAATTTTATTTTCTTTTATATGGTTGGCCTTTAAAGCCCCATACTTTAAATTCCAATATTTAAATTTCGCATTTAAATTCTGCAGAACTGCTGGAAGTCATTCCGCAACATATAAACTATTATATGGTTGGCAATTAAGCCCCATAATTTAAATTCCCGTAATCAAATTACGTACTTAAATTCCAGAATTATTATCTTGTTTACGTGGTGGTATTCACCTCAAATTATTAATTGTTCTTGTTATCTATCTTTTGTGAGAAGTTCTCTTCTCCTGTCTACTATTTACCCCCTGCTCGACCCTGTGTCCCTCTGGTATCAGAGCCACGGGGGGTAGTGTTTATTGAATCTTGTTTCTTGATCTAAGAATCCGATTTCGGAGAAACTTTATACTTGTGAGTGTTTTTGCCCGAAAAGGTCCGACGGTAAGTCCTGTGTGAAAGGCAGTAAGGTCCAGGAAGTGTTCGGGATTGTAGCAAGAATACGATTTTGAAAAACAAAGGTTTTTAAATTGTTCTTGTTATCTATCTTTTGTGAGAAGTTCTCTTCTCCTGTCTACTATTTACCCCCTGCTCGACCCTGTGTCCCTCTGGTATCAGGGCCACGGGGGGTAGTGTTTATTGAATCTTGTTTCTTGATCTAAGAATCCGATTTCGGAGAAACTTTATACTTGTGAGTGTTTTTGCCCGAAAAGGTCCGACGGTAAGTCCTGTGTGAAAGGCAGTAAGGTCCAGGAAGTGTTCGGGATTGTAGCAAGAATACGATTTTGAAAAACAAAGGTTTTTAAAAATGGAAACATTTTTCCATAAGACTATCTCTTCTAACTCTGCTTCCACAGTTGCCGGTGATTTGGAAAGGAAGATAGTAAATAGTGAAGAAATTATCGTAAAATATTTTAATAAAACTATTAATAATTTGAAAATTCCAAAGGTAAACAAGGAAAAAACTCAAAGAACAACTTTCTTTAAAAGTGATTTTGTTGTTCTTTAAAAGTGATTTTGTAATCAAAACCAAACGAGATATTGAAGAAGAAAATTTCTTAGTCCAAAATGTTCCCGAAAATCTAAAAAGAAGAAAATTCTAACCCGTCTTAGATCATATTTGGAAGAAAGCATTACCTAGCTCTCTTTCGAGATTGACACACGACCAGTCAATCAATATCCTGATAAAAAGGTTAGTATTTCTTCCAATAAAATACTTGAGTTAACTAATCCTCCTAATGATATAAACAAGTTAAAGAAAAAATCTCAAAAACCTTCGATTATAAAAAGTTCAAAATCCTCTTGCATGACAAAACCCGTTACAGAAAAAGATTTTACCGTTAATAGAAAATTCTTTCATGATAATTTTTACACTGATTACAACTTAGAAAACTGACTATGGTTTTTCAAAAATTTCTTTCATGGAAGACAAATTATTCAAGAAAAATTTTATGACCACATAAATAAATACAAAATTTATATTCTATTTTTTGATTGGTTTAAGATATATTCTTTAGAAAATTCTATTAATTTTTCTTACAAAAAATCGGCAAGTCCTGTCACTACCAAATATAAAATGCCTGAATGGGAAACTATTCATGATTCAAAAAGAGTTCAATCAAACCATCCTCCTTACCAAGGAATAAAACTTTCCGTTCAAAACAAACAAATAGAAGCTGTTGCACTTAGCAATCCGGCAGATTGTGATAAAAATCTTCGTGGTTTGGTTTCTCAAAATAATTATACAAATACTCATTTAAATACTATTGGAAAACAATTAGATAGGATCGAAAAGCATTTCCAAAGTCAAACCATCGTTTCTATAGATTCTTCAAAACCCGATGGCAAATACAAAATTCCTCTCTTTAAACCTTATCAAGTTTCAGAAAAATCTATTCAAGATATTAAAAACAATAAAGATGAATTTGTAAAAACTCTTCAAGACCATTTTAGCAATTTATCTATTTCAAATAATTTAGTGGCTCCTGATACTCCACAATCCCAACATTCTTCAACTAGCAAAATCCATACTCTTAGCCAAGACTCAGATATAGGTGAAGCATTAGTTCAATTTCAGGAATCACCTCAACAAATTAATAAATTAACATGGGAACAACCTCTATCAATTGTTCCTTCTCCTGATTTAAATTCTACAAAACCAATAGTCCAGTCTCGTTTCAATGCTACTTCTGCTTATGACTGGAATATTGATGGAAAATCAGAATATGAAATTATTAGTATTTTACAACAAATGACTATGGCTGCAAATGCTAACTGAAAGTGGCCTCCAAGATAGAGTCATAGCCGAAATAATTATAACTGGATTTTTCGGTCAAATTAAAGGATGGTGGGATTATTATCTTACTAGTCAGCAACAAGAAGAAATTCTTGATGCCATTAAAACTGACGAAGATGATGTTCCCATATTTGATTCTGATGGAAATCGACAACAAGATGCAACTGCTAGGTTAATCCTTACTATTTCATTACATTTGGTAGGAGATCCATCTCATTTAAAGGATAAAAATGTTGAGCTCCTTTCAAACCTTAGGTGTCGAAAACTTAGTGATTTTCTTAATTATAAAAATACCTTTCTCACAAGGGTAATGCTCAAAGAAGACTCTAGCC